GGTCAAACTACCGATCCACCGATTTTGAGAGATAAGCTACCGACTTCGCGATTCTGCCAGGGCTCGGGAATTACCCAGGAATTTTGAAAAAATCGCGAAGACCCGCGGATTTGAGGAAATCTGTAAATTGGCCTGTGGAAAAATACATAAAAGTTATTGAGGAATATATTTGAACACCAAATCCGATAACGTCCTTTGCCGGTTGCGATTGTGATATTCATTCGGCTCTTCCCCGACCGAGAGTACGTTTTTTCATGCGAACAGGCGTCTATGGCGGCAAGTAGAAGTGTATGTGTGATACCGAGGCTCGATCGAGAAAATCAAGATCTACTTTCGCTTTTGTTACCACCCAGAAATATGCTGGTAGTAGTTTGATTTTCGCAACATTTGCAACCTGCAGGTTGTGCATTACAAAAGCTGTGTCACCATGAAAATAAATTATTTGTTCCTTTTATGAAAAAGAAAAGAAGAAGTATAAAAGCGTCTTGTCGGGCCCACCATCGTGACCGGTCAGTGAACCTGGGCGTTCGCATCACATTGTGTGTACCGGCAAATGTAGCGGTCACCAAAGTTCATTCAAAGTCAGAGCGTTGCGAAATATCATCGTCATCATCATTGCCTTTCTCACCCTGCACCAGGGTATAGGCCACGGACAAACACCTTCCACCTTTCTCTATCCTGGGCTAGCCTCTTGATGTTATTCCATGTCTTCCCACTTTTCTGTACATCGATATCCCCCGAGCTAAGCTACTTCTGTCCAGACTGTATCCTGTGTGTTTCGCGGACTCCTAGTATGTGCAGCCTGTATCTCTTTATCTCTTGTATTACTTGAGAACTCTTTCCCTCTTCATACAAGGTGCGGACATTCCACGATGCAATCCGGAGAGACTTGTTCGACAGAGAAGGTTTCGGGTCAGAAGAGTCCTTTCGGCTTTGTCCGTGTCCTTCATTGTTCCTGCTGATGCAGAAACTCCTCCGTCTCCCAAGGTCGAAAAATAAAAAGCTGTGTTTGTCCGTGTTTCTGTAACTTACTGTTTTTTACTGGGCTGGGTAGTTGGCCCTCCGCAAACTGGCACGGGGCTCCCCTTTACGCACAAATGTGCGTATATTACGCTTGAAACATGCAGATTACCCCCTTTAAGTTTTGGTTGTGCGTGAGCTTTAATCTTTTTAATTTCATATCGGGGGTTTGCATACGCCAGATTTTTCTAAAATCTTACTCTTGCCTTCTTTTCTGTTGTGGAAAGCACTCGTTTAAAAACTTTTTGTCTGCAGAAACTCGGAGCACTATTTTCCTAAATGTCTTTGTCGAATTTAGTAGTTGACTCTCTAAAAGTTGTCTTGGATTTTTGCTCACACGTGTTATTTCAACTATTGATTTGGCATTCCGACTTAAGACTTAAAAACTTGTATTTGTATTTTAAAAAAAGAATGAATAACTACAAACTGCCGTCAAGCAGTTAAATAGTGTGAGGTTCTGACTGTGATAAGTGGAAACAAGTTTTGAAAATACATGTTTTAAAGTGCATGTATGTTTATATAAAAAGACCTAATCAATCAGCATGTCATATTATGACTTATGACTAGATCAGAATATTGAAAATATGTTAGCACACACAATATAGAAAAAGACTGGCTTACTGTATGTCCCTTATGAGAAAACACAAGTGATTTAAAAAAGTATCACCAGAGAAGTTGATTTCAGAGAATAGTGCCTTTTTTTTATCAGGACCTCTAGTTGTGAGACACATCTCTTGCCACATCGCTCACATCTGCAGCCTTCTTTTTCATCCAGAGCTTTTTTCAGACACTACTGCTGAGGTTTGGTTATCATTGCTGTGAGCGTGTTTGTACTAGCCATGACAAAATGAACACAATTGTCAAGCTGAGCAGTGTCAGACTGTAGCTTTGATGAGATTTCAGACAAGTCGGACAAGATTTCTCCATACCCCGGCCCTCCCACGCGTGTATCTTAAAAATTAAAAAATCAATAATTCCCCCTTTCTGGAGTCCCATACTTCGCGGCGTTCAGACTTTGAATGAACTTTGGTGACCCCAACAACGGGTGCTCACACGATGCCGTATCTTGTGATTAAGTTGTGATACCAACGCTCAGGGTCACTGACCTGCCACGATGGGGAACCCGACAAGACGCTTGTATAACTTTCTTTTCTTTTTTTTCCACCAGAGACAGCACAGGACAAATAGTGATTTATTTTGAGTGATTTATTTTGATGGTGGCAAATCTTTTTAAAACAAAAAAATCAAGGGCACGGCAAAAATTGCCGCGGTTGACTCTTTGTTTTTAAGGGCATTACGGCAAATTGCAAAGGCACCAAGGCAAATTGCCGCGGTGCCGCGGTCTATTTCAAGCCCTGGTATTGTATATCTATATTTTAGCTTTCTGTTCAGGATTCGCAGATTTTCAAGTTCACCGCATCTTGCCCTCCCATAGTACTTACTACTCTCACATTGAATAGGTCTACAATTGAGCCATTGGAGTTATTACTTTTCTTTGAAATTGAGCTATAATTTTTGTCTTTCAGGTTTGTTGTTTATTTTATGAGCATTTGCCAAAACGTTTTCTGATAGGTTCTTTCGAACATAACAAATGATGACAGAGCACGAGGCGTGGCAGGATTTCCGTTTTCTCCAAAATTACTTACGATAACAGCCTTGGAATCTTGGAATCAGTCAGGGCAGAGAGTAAATATTATACTATGTTATGCTTGTTCCAGGGCCCCATAAGGGCTGATAGAAACGAAGTCGCTGGAATTGAAGTTGCTTTGCGAAATGACTACATGAGTTATGCTCGAAAATTAAAATCTAGATAGAAGGCTCACTAACAAAAAAACAGCTACAGATATCATTATCCCTGACATTGCACCACAAATATGTAGTTATAGTAGTAAAAGTGTAGAAGGACGAGTTTCTCAGCAATTATTTCATTGTTGAACTTGACGACCGAAAAAGTCTGAACTCTACGTGTCACGTTTCGTCTTCTAAAAATACATCGATTTCAGAACTAAAACTATTTGTAAAAATTCTATTGATGGCCCGACTACTATTTCTATCCTCCCATAGCTGAAACACCATATATTAAAGCACAACATATACAATTTTCAAAGCTATAGCACTATTTTTCTTGGAATTGGAAAGGATTTTGTTAGGTATATATGAAGAAATCCCCACCTATTGGCAAAGACTCATATATATAATACAAATGGAGCTGGCGCTGTCATTGTTATGTATAGTAACATGCCCCCGGAAAATGGGTGGGAGGAGCCGGGTTGGCAGTCACCCTGACTAGCACACCTCTATGATTGGCCCAAATATGGTTGACGTATTTCCGCCATCAATTTTTGTCATGTTCCGGGATTTCCCTCGCCAGTTGACGAGATCTTGCCGTGGCTGGCCCGCTTTGCCGCTTAGCGCGCTATGGGCTGCGTCACTGGGTGACGACATGAGTTGAGTGTGTGTGTGTGTGACAACTTTGTTTGGGGTGGAAAAGAGGAGGTACAGAATGATACAGGCTAAATTTATGGAATGATGGAATGAGAATTGCTGAGATTGTTTCCAGATGTCACAAATTAACACACACACAAAAAGGGGAGAAAGGGGAGGGGGGGGGGGGGGGGGGGGA